GGGCCACTCAGGTGATTTAGTATAATTAGTTGTTTATAAATTACTAGGTTGCCTGAGTCTTTGGGACAGTGGTAAAATGTGGTCAGTCTGCCTATTTATTGTGTCTCTTTGTTGTCCAGGGTGGATAGAAGAGTGCTGTCTGAGCTTTCATTAGAAATGTTGTCTGCAGGTCTAGCTTTTATACTGTAGCACGTCAGAAGGCACTGTTTTGGTTTTTAATCTTTTTTTTTTTTTAATCCTTCCCCACCAGTGGTTTGCAGAGGCTACTAGAAGATTTAAGGTGTGTTTGTTCTCCTTATTCAAGAGTTAAGTATATTTTTCATCTCTGGATTGATGTTTTCGAACCATTTTCCTGTAAACAGGTTTTTAAATGTGTCAGACACTGTGCTGAGAATAGGACAAAATGACCAGTGAGGGGACTCTGTGAGTATAGAGACAGAAGCGGCTTGGGGAAAAATGAGAGGAAAGGCCTTATGGGGGGGGCGGGGGCTGCAGGGAACTTGGGAAGCTGTCTAGAAGCCCAGAGTCTGGGTGAGCTCAGAGGGTGTTATTCCCAAGACCCAATGATAATTCGCCAAGCAAATTTTGCAAGTGGCTTTCTCCTTCCTAATACAATTAAATTTTATGTTGCCACTTTTAAGTTTCCACAGGAAGTCTGCTATCTTCACTTGCAGAAAAGGAAAATAAGATTTAGAGTGGCTATGTGATTTTTTTCTGAGACCAAAACTAAAACTAAATTTGGATGTCACATAAAACTAATATTCTATCTACTTTCTTACTATAATCCAGCTACTGTTCTTTTCATTTTTGTCCGTGCTTATACGCAAGAAAACTTTAATGTATTACATATTTACACCCTATCTAATGCAGTAAACCCAAGAAAGTTATCGCCACCTACGTTACTTTCTGGATCAGATTCTGTAGCAATGCTAAAGCTGCAGTTTGCATTGTCTTCCCCCGTGGCTTCTGCTTTCTGTCAGATGCTTCCTTAAGGGCGACTCTCAAGGGGCCCTTAGTGGCCTCTGGCCTCCAGGGAGGAGTAGTGTGGTGGAAGAGCCTGGCGGGCCAGCAAGTGGGCCGTTATAGATGCTTCTGAACAGCGCTGAGAGGTGGGATTTAGGACTCAGACATGGAAGTTATGGTTTTTATTTACCTTTTTTGTTTATCCATTCGTTCCACACATTTTTATTGATTACTTATTCTATGCCAGGCCTGGAGTTGGGAATTTAGATACATATAAGATAGGAACTTCTGTTTTCGTTTTTCTTTCTTGAGACAGATCTTGCTTTGTAGTTCAGGCTAGGCTTGAGTTCACTGTGCAGTCGTGACTGGCCTATAACTCAAAAAGTCCTCCTGCTTCTACCTCCTGAATATGGGGATTACAGGCATGCGCCCCCAGGCCCAGCTATGAACTTTGTTCTAAAGGAGTTCATATTCTAAGGTCTGGCAGAGGAGGGGAAGGATGGAGAAGCACAGTGTAAACAAGTAAGTGCAGTGCAGTAAGACATAGACAGAACTTGGAGTAGGCAAGAACTTTTTAAATGAGATGACTGGACATAGAATAGGCTGTCTTTTGAGATTATAAGTGGTACCTTGATTACAGGTGAGTTTTAGTTCTATCCATGATTCTGGTTGTAGCGAATTGGTCATGAACTTAATCACATTCAGGGGTTGGGTTTAATGTTGACCTTGTGGGGAAATTTGATTTGGTTCACAACCAAATTGGCCTGCAACCAGAACTGTGGGAAGAATTAAGTTCATGAACTGAGGTACCACTGTACAGGTTTCCTGTCATTGGAGGCTTTTAAGCAAAGGTAGGCTGGAATGTGATTTTAAAAAAAGTTCAAACATTAGATTTCAGCCGTTTTTGCTTGTAAGTAATTTGGAATCACTTTGAAAATGGAAATTACTGCCAGAGAAGTCCCTCAAAAAATTTTAAAAAACCAACCACAAATGGATAAAAGCCTATACCAGAAAGCTTGGTTGACACCTTTCTTGGGTTATGGGTCTCCAAGGGGGGTATATGTTCGATGAAGCAGTTGCTTGAAAGACCTGAGAGGCCAAGAAGGACTTGATTAGGCTATCAGGTGGCTGCAGTAGTGTAATCTTAGAACAGGGAGCTTTGAATGGTATGCTTGAGAACTGAGCCACTTGACCTTCTTTTAGGGGAGCTGAAGGACTTGAATTGGGGCAGGGAGGGAAAGCAGGGGCAAATTTGGGACATGAAGCTGGAGGAAATGGATTAAGAACATATTAGCTAGAGAGTCAATCTAGATTAACAAACCACCCTTGCTTGATTTTTTTTTCTTTTTTAAGAAAAAATAAGGGAGTTTATTTGCTAATGGTGGGCCAAGATGAGTTACACAAAGACATGTAACTTGAGTTTGACCTTAAAAAGATGAGTCAGAGTTAGGTATAGTGGCATATTCCTGTAATCTCAGCCCTTGGGAGACTGAGGCAGGAAAGTTACCATGAGTTCGAGGCCAGCCTGAGTTACAGAACAAGAGCCTGTCTTAAAAAACAGACCCCCAAAAGTCAGATTTTGTGTGTGTGTGTGTGTGTGTGTGTGTGTGTGAAGTAAGAGTTTTATTAGGAATGAGAGACATCAATATCAGGAAGCATGGCCATGTGCATTTGTGTGTGTAAAATTAAGAATGTGTAGCAGGCTGGGAGTAGAGCTCAGTGATAGTGTGCATACTTATGTGTGTAAGGCCCAGGGTTTGAGCCACTGTACAAAAAAAGGAAGGAAAAGAATGCATAGGTTTTTTTTTTTTTTTTTTTTTTTTTTTTTTTTTTTTTTTTTAAAGAAAGCATAGTTGGGAAATTCAGGTGAACAAAGATTTCTGGGGTATAATTTGAATGTAGGCTACTTCTAGGTGTGGTGGCTTAGTTTAGAAGACAGGTCCATGTTCAATTGTGAAGGCTGATGATTTCATTTCTCCTGCCAAATTCATTAAAGCAAAGTATGTATCCTTAAGCAAATGGTATTAATGAAAATATTTATCAGGTCGCTCAGTTAGATACTGTACGGGACACTCGGGTTGCAAAGATGGCAAAATTGGGCCCAGCATCTGAGGAGCATCCTGGTTCCTGGGGAAGACGTACCTGTAAACAATTACAAAATAGTGAAAGGAAATGTAATAACCTGCAAACGGAATGTGAAAAAGAAGACATCCGCTGTCAGGGATGTCAGAACATTTACAGATGCTTTATGGAACAAGTAACAGAATTAAGCTCCGAAGGAAGCATGAATTCCCACTTTGAAGACCAGGAAACTGGCTTTCTAAGCAGAAGAAACAGACTGTGCAAAGGAGTGGGAATGTGATGGCTGTGGCATAAAAAAGTTGGAAAAATTGCTGGACTGGAGAGGGGGCAGTAGGGTGGAAATGAGACTGGTAGGTGGGGCAGGCCAGAGGCAGAGGGCCTCCAGAGGAAGCTAAAGAACTTCAGCTCTTATTCTGATACGTCAGTGAAGGTCTTTAAGAGGTAAAGGAATGGTGTATTTTGAGATCAGTGACAGCCCCTGGAGGGGGAAAAAGCTGGGTGTAGGAAAATATTTAGTGCAGGGTCTACAGGGTCTCACTACGCAGATCGGACTCATAGTGAGCCTCCAGTTTTCAGCCTCCTGAGTGCTGGGATTACAGGCATGCACTACCATGCCCAGTCTCAATCGCCATCTCAGCCCAGCCTGGGAGTAAGGCCAGCGCAGCTCACCGGGGATTGAACCCTGATCCTTGCACCTCGCTAAGCAGAAGCTTTAGTCTGCTGAGTTAGGTAGCCAGCCCTTCTTAGATATTTTGTTCGTAACATTTTAATTGATTTTTAAAGCAGTGATATTCACAGCTGGCTGCTATTGGAGTCACTAATTTTCAAAATATAGAATTTTGGTCTTTACCTTTCCATCCTAAGTCAAAGTTGAGGGGAGTTGGGCATGGAACCTAAATTTCTAAACAGTTCTTGGTGATTATTATTTTTTTAAAATTGCAGTACCAGGGATTGAACTCAGGATCTTGAGCTTGCCAGGCAGGTGCTCATGTCACTGAGCTATATCTCTGGCCCTATGCTACTTTTTTTTTTTGAAGCATGTAATTTCTATAGCACTGCTGTGTTCAATTCCAAACAGCTTGTACTCTAAACAAATACGATTAAATGCATAATTTCTACTGTAGCGTGAAAAATTAATGAGAAACTAGGTACATTCATGTTTATTCATTGTTAAAGACAGTTACTTATTTTTAGGCTGTATCTGTCTTCATTAAAATTATTGTTAGTATGTAATAGGGATTTTTTTCTGTTATATTTTATTCCTTTTGTTTCCCAGAAGCATTGGAGATTGCCAGTAACTTAAACAGGGTGGTTATTGCATTGACCATTGCATACTTAGAGCCAGACAGACCTTTAGGGATTAGAAGTCCTAGAGAGATGGTGTGGTGCACAGGGTGCTAACTTTTCCTGTAAGGGCCAAGTAGTAAATGTTGCAGTCTCTGTTGTGATTCGTCAACGCTGCTAGTGTACCTGAAAGAAATCATAGTGTAAAGCGTGACTGTGGCTGAGCTCCACTGGAGCTATGCACAGAGGCAGCGCTTCTGTTGATCATGTAGTCCACTGCAGAGGGAAGGTGCAACTTACTTCATATTATAAAGTTAGAGGCTATGGGGAACTCACTATGTGGAGTGCTGTTGGGGCAGACATTTCTTTAAAGCTGCTGGATATTATTAGGTTTCACACTCAGTACTGTAGGCCAGATTCCTGCTTTCCAGATTCATCATGGTGGCTCGCTGTATCTTCCAGTCTCTCAGATGTGAGAATGGAGTCAGAACAATAGGAATTTTCAGAAGTGTTAGCACACAGTAAGCATTTTGTATCTGTGAGTATTTGTGAATGAATAGGCGAGCAGTACTCATGGTGTGAGTGGAAGGGCTGTATAATTTGAAATCCTTAACAGTTTTTACATACATTCCTTTTGCTCAACAGTAACTCAAGTGTCCTTCTGTTTCTAGTAGCTGCTGCAGCTGCTGGTGACAATGTCAAGCAACGGCCTGGACGTTCAGGACAAGCCCCCAGCTCCTCCCATGAGAAACACTAGCACTATGATTGGAGCTGGCAGCAAAGACACTGGAACCCTAAACCATGGCTCCAAGCCTCTGCCTCCAAACCCAGAGGAGAAGAAAAAGAAGGACCGATTTTACCGATCCATCTTACCTGGAGATAAAAGTAGAGTATTTTGTTTGTTTCTCATCATATTTATGCTGGAAAAAAATTCTTTGTAACTTGGATAAAAGAGTTGTCCTTCTTAATTTTCCATGATATCTTTTATTGTGTTAAATATTTCCTCTGTCTTTACTTCCCAATGTGGCTGAAACCTCTGGAAAATAGATGTTTTGTACTCTATCGAAATTCCAAGAGAATAATTATGCTCTTGCCAGACTTTGAACACTCTGAAACCATTTGTGTACTCACTTGTAAAGTTCTTTTTTTTTGTGGAACCAGGGCTTGAACTTGGCCTTGCCAAGCAAGCGCTTATTCCACTGACCCATCTCCCCGACCCCTGTAATGTTCTTAAACAGTATATGGTATCACAAAACATAAGGAAGCTAGGGAGATAGCTCAGTAGAATAAGCACTTACCTGGCAAGCGCAAGGGCCTGAGTTCAATCCCCAGTTCCGCCAAAAAAAAAAAAAAAAAAAAAGGAATTTTGAAATGTCTGTATTTGAAAAATTTCCTCTAAGCTAGTTTTATTTGCAGTGCCTTCTTTCCAGATTCTTGACTGTCTTTCATTCATGTCTCCTGGTCCTCACATTCAAATTTAGGGATTAAGTATCAGTATTTAATCTCCTGGGACCAGGGAGATAGTTCAGTGGAATAAGTGCTTGACTGGCAAGCATAAGGTCTGAGTTCTATCCCTATTGGGGGAAAAAAAAAAATCAGTAAGAATACCAAGGAAGGGCTCAGAAAAGGAAGCAGAGGTAACTAGACTCACCATGAGTTCACTATGAGCAAGTTATGCTATGCAGCCTCATTTACTTTTTATTAGTACAACTTCTAAAATATGTTTGAAAAACACTGGCATCTTTATATAAAGGTAGAAGAGGTTTGAAATTTGGGTATGCCCATAGTTAGGTGGCTTTTGTTTGACCCCAAAATGTTAAGTTGTTAATCCGAACTCCAATTCTCAGTTTTACCTGCAGAACCATGCTTTTGAGGTTTGCTGAAGAAATTGGCTATCTGTGTGTGGATGTCATGAGCTTCAGATTTAAAAGGAGCTGCTCACTACTTACAGTTCTGTGATCTCAGAGTGTCAGTTAACCACTTTGACCTTTAGTTTCCTGTCTTCTAACTCGAGATAATTTCTCACAGGCAGGTTAAAGGATTATATGTAAATTTCCTAATACAGTACCTTCCACACGTAAGGAATTTAAACGTTAATTCCTTTTCTCTTACTCTTTTGTGGATGACTAGAAACGGGGAAGCATAGTTAGTAAACTGCATAAGTAGAACTGAGTTTCTGAAAAAGTGAGGTAATTATAGAAAGTACAATGATGAATTGCAGGACACAGCCCATATTATAGAAAAATACTGCTGCGTAATCACAGATCAAGGTAGACAGTTGATAGACCACTAATCAAATAGAGAATATATGAAAAATTGGGAGGGCTATACCTGGACTTGATTTTTATCCTCAGTATATTTTTGTTTATTCAGCCTTAAAGCTAGAGATTTTGGAATCACTTTCCACAGAACTTTTTTGAATCCAAGTCTGTCTGTCTGTCCATCCATCATCTCTCATCATCTCTGTCTTTTGGTCAGTCGGTCAGTCGGTTGGTCTGTCTGTCTATCTATCGATCTATCTATCTATCATTTGTCCTGTATCTGTGTATCCACTATTTATGTCTTACATATCATTTTCTATGTGTTCCCTACCACTATGTAATCCACTCTTCCATGATTTCACTCCAGAGTGTTAACTATGGAGGAATCTTGATCTTTCTCCATTCAATTAGAATTTTCTCCCAATCTAGCTTTCACACCTCTTCATCTGTCCATTTCCTTCACTGTCACTTTCGTTTTGTTCCCTGACTTCCAATGTGGGCTCTAGAGTAGCTCTCATGAGCCACTGCAATAAAGTATAAAACCTTAGACTCTTTGCAGGTAAGATATTTAAGCCTAACATATCATATCACATCATATTGGAGTGACAGAAAAACTTTCAAATTTGCATTTCTTTTGTTAGTTTATATGGCTGCTTTTTTTTTTTTTTCTTTTCTGTTGGCCCAAAATTGTGCAAAACTTTATTGTAACTGGGTAGAAATTCTAAATGTCAGTTTGAGAATTAAGCATTTGAAGATCGGTCATATTTTTATTAGGGCATAAACACATTATCAAAAAGATTTACCTCATAAATTATAAACAGATGGGAACTATTTAGAGGAATCAAAAACCAAACTGGACCGGGGAGATATCTCAGTAGAATAAGTGCTTGCCTAGAAAGCACAGGGTCCTGAGTTCAATCCCCGGTACCACAAAATAAACAAACAAACAAACAAACCAAACTGCATGGGAAATACTTCGAAGAATTAACAAGTTGGATGTCATCTTTTTAAAAGTTTTTGCACATCAAAAGAAATCACCAAAATCCAGACGTGGTAGTGCACGCCAGCCATCCCAGCTGCCAGGGAGGCTGAAAACAGGAGAATCACTGAGTCCGGTCTACATAATGAGACCCTGTAGACCATGTACTGAAAACGTTAAAAAAAAAAAAAAGGATAACTGTTCTTTCAGTAACCAATAATATAATTGCTAAATGATTTAAGATGCTCTCAGCAAAATAATAACAAAACACTTAAACATAATACTAAGCTATGGTTGTAGGCAGCTGAATTAGATAGAAATATAGGCAGTCAGACAGGTCCAGGCCCTCAAGGAGACAAGATGGAAGACAAGGTCTTTGGAACAGACACTTTGGAACAGACACTCCCCGCTGAGGGCCAGACCTCAAGACAAAAGAGTAAACAGGTGTAGTTCCATACTTCCCTAGGAATGGGCACCAGAGATTGATATTCTGAATTGGTATCAGACACCTTAAAAGAGCCTAAATGAGTCACTAACCCAACCCCCAACAGGAAGAGACCCTGTCCCGTATTCATGCCCACTTGCTATATGACTCTTCCCCATTTGATTATGATTTAATCAATGTTACCTGAGCACTGGTGCCTAGATTCTCATTGGCTGACCATAGCTTTGTCCCACCTCATGCCCACCTAAACGAGTTCCCATGTTCTTCACCACCTTAGACCTGCCTCACCACCTAGTTTTCCTCTATAAAAGTCCCTGGAAGAGGCAGCTTCCTGGGGGCCACCCACTCAGGGCCCCCCTTCTGTCCCTCTCTCGGACAGGAGCTTTCTTTCCCTCAGTAAATATATTGTGCTCAAAAAAGAAAAAAAAATTTGGAGACTAGTGTTGAAGGACAAGGAAGATGGCGGCTCTGGACAGTTTGTGTTGGCGTGTGCAACAAGCAGGTCTCACAGATGGCAAGTGTTTTATGTTGACGTGCATAACAGGCAGGTCTCACAGATGGCAAGCATTTGTGGGATACCTGAAATGAACGCTTGAGCTATTGAGGACTGTTAATAAGTACTTGGGCTTAGGGCCCACCCTCCCTTGTCCCACATAGGTACCTCTTTTACTCATTCAATTTAAGCATGTGTTTAGTTTTGATACTTCACTCTCTCAGCCAGTGTTCTTGATCTCTGTAAGTCAGCCCAAGTTTTCACGTAACAGTCAAAGACTTTATAAATTGAAAAGTGTAAGTTGTTCTTAAGGAGATTGAAACTTAGAGGATAAAATTTCTGCCTAATAGGTATCATGAAAAGTTTTTGTGTTTTAAGGGACACTGTTAAGAAAATAAGGTGGTCCACAAAAGAGATTATTTCCCCAAATTATGTATTTTATAAGTGTTTAGCATCTAAAATATATGAAGAACTCAACAACCAAAAACCTAATTTAGAAATGGGCAAAGGATGGAAATAGACTTCTCTCCACATAAGATACAGGAATAGAAAATGAACGCATAAAAAGATGTTCAAAATTATTAGTCTGCAGAGAAATACCAGTCAAAACCATAGTGACATATCACTTCATAGGTAGTAGGATGGCTATAATAAAAAAGGTAATATCAAATATGGGTGAAGTTGTAGAGATACTGCACCCTCACAGCAGCTGGTGGGAATGTAAAATGCTTTAGCTAATGTGGAAGACAATGTGGTAGTTCCTTAAGAGGTTAAATGGAGAAGTACCATCACTCAGATGTTCCACCAAGAGAAACACATGTCCATATGTGAGACTCGTGCACGAACGTTCACAGCAGCAGCACTATTCATGATAACCCCAAAGTGGAAACAAGCACTCGTTAACTGATCAATAGATAAATAAAACATATAGGATATCCATATAATGAAATAGTACTGTGGTACCTTCGTTCAGGAATGCTTCTTTTTATAAACAGTTTGGTTCCAAAGCATTTGACATAATTTTGCTTCCATTTATAACCTTCATGTTAGTGGCAAACACAACTGTGACTATCTTCCCCAAAATATTAAAACAGATTAAGTTTGTAAATTGAAGTACTACTGTATTTGGTAACAGAAAGAAATGAAGTCCTGAATTTTAGCATGAGTGAGTCTTGAAAATTCTATACTATGTGAAGAAGCCAACCACAAAGGATTACAAAGTGTGATTCCATTTATATGAAAAATCCAAGAAAGGCAAATCCATAAACAAAAAGTGTATTAGTGGTTGCCTAGGAATACAGATGGGGAGCGGCAGCAGGACTAGGAGGTGGAGACTGAGAGCTGGGATTGCCTTCTGGAGCGATGAAAGTGCCCTAAATTTGATCAGGGTAATGTTTGCTCAACTTTGTCAATTTTATACCCAAGGAATGAATTTATCATGTATATATTTATAAATAGGGAATTACATCTCAACAAAACCATTTCTGGAAAAAAGAATTCCTGCCTGAAATAAGAACATTCAGGCATTACTGGAGCTGAATGGACGATGAATCTTACATGGTGACTGGGGAAGTGAGGGTGTGATGTAGGTATCTGGGTTATAATCTTGGTTCTCCCATAAATGAGCTGCCTGTAGTGGGTCAGTTATTTTTCTGTATATTTCAGCACCTTCATCTAAAGAAATGAGAGACTCACAGCAGCTGAAAT